AATCCATACATATATGAGAAAGAGTAAGGTTTAGAGGTCACTTACCTCTTGTAGACCTCCAATAGCAAGACAGCTGCCAAGAAATTCAGAGATCTTTCTTTCCTTTGAATGTTGCTTCTTCTTGAAGAAAAGTGCAAGTTTGTGGATAGTTGGAGTAAATGCATTTCCAGCTATTGTTTGAGGTTTTGGACAGCTAGAATATCATTAATATGAGGTGCCTAAAGTGCCAAAATGATGGAAATGGATCTGTGTAGTGATTTGGTATGAAAGATGCACAAAATTCAAACTATGGTGTGTGAACAGTTGACTTTTTGATCCAAAGATTTTTTGGAGAAACCAATGGTGGGAACAACTTCAGAGGGTCATTTTAAGAGTGTGTATATGGTTTTTGAAGTGGTGGAATGTTTGGAACAAGATCTGGTATGAAAAGTGTAAAGTGGTGAAAATGGTGATTTTGTGAATTTCTCCACCTTCAAGCAAAGAGAGAAAGAAAGAGAGCTATGTATCCCTTGTGTTTAGGATGGCTCTGGTGTGAAAGATAGAGTGGGAGGAAAGTTCTATTTATAGGTCATGAAGAGGTTTGGGGCAGATTTGAAGTTTGACTTTTGGAGGGAGATTTTGAAGAAATTATCTACAAGATCTTGATGCAGCTGCATACATCACTCTCTTGGCTCAATGTGAGGAGAAAATCAAGTGGAAGGAGTGACTTGAGGTGACTGGATAGAGCATAGAGAGTAGGGGGCTGCAGTTGTACCTTCTCATGAAAAGTTTCTCTTTCTTCTTTGTTTTTTTTATTATTTGCTTGCAACTTGCTCTTCCCTCAAATCCTTCACTTCTTCTGCATTTTCCTTCATTATACTCCCTAAATATCATATACAAACATGATCCAAGGGCTGAGAATAGCTCAAATGATCAAAAGGTGAGTTTGTGAAAAAGTGAGAATGTTGGACTCAAGTCTTGAAACCTCATCTTGTTGGATTCATAACTCTCAGCTCATAAGGGCTATGGAGGAGTTCTTGTATATTTTGGAAATACCTCATGTAGCTCTACAACTTTCATGTTTTGATGAGCTTCAGATTCCCAATGGAACTAGGTTAAAAAACCTCTCAAAGTTGCTGAAAAACATGCCTAAAAAGTGAAATAACTTAGAATTTTTCTAAGTTATTTTTCCCTCTTGAAATGAATTTGGTCATAACTCCAAATCTATGAATTTTCTGCTCATGGACCACTGTGGGACTTTTGTAGTATTTTTCAAGAGTTTTACAATGAGCTTTGAACCAACTCCATTGGATGTGTGGTTAGAGAGTTATGGTCTTGCCCCTTTCAAAATCCTAATTCCCGATTTTTGCGATTACTCCCCAATACTTGATCCAATGGTCATGAAACTTCATGGATAGGTGTAATATGACATTAGGAACATTTTTTATTCATACTTTAAGGTCAAATTCCTTATGGTTGAAGAGTTGACTTTTTGGTCGACGAAACGATCGATCGATGACGATCGGATCGACTGTTGTTGTTCTGGCCTTCCTGAGGCCTTGAAACTTCTTTATGGGACTTGAATAAGTCATATGAGCTTCATGGACCATAATTCCATTATTGGAACACCTTCAAAATCAAAATTCAAACCACAGTTGACTTTTCCTGATCAAAAACCCTAATCGGAGATCCTGAATTGCACTATTCCTGATCTTTGTGTGACAACCTCACATTGTACTCATGTTTGACCCAATGGAGTATTATTGAATGGTGTAGAGACATTCTTCATGGACAATCAATCCAAGGCATTAACTGATGAAACCGCTGAAACCTCGATTTCCGACTGTACGGAATCCTGGTTCACCTGTAACTTAACAAAGAAAAACGTGAAGTAGGTTAAGGTTAAATAATCAAATGAATATGATCCTACAATGATGATGAAGATCTAAAGGGTCAAAATTTAGGGTGCAACACTCCCTAATAAAAATCTCTCATAACATTGCATAGTTCCTCTCACCATCCTTATGGTCCCCCTTCACATTCTGTCTAAGATGGTGTTTGATTTATCCTTCATGGTTGTTTCAAAGAAAGGTGCAAAATATTTTATTGGTCAAATTGGGAGCGGCTTAAAATGCGGGGTTTTAAAAACATTAAAGTTTAAGGAGGAATTAAATTTGGAAGAGTAAAGTTTAGGGTTTAAAGGTAGTTTACTGTCAGTGTAAGACAGTTTTACACATCTACAATTATCATGTAATATCAGTATTTTTAAAATAAAAATATATTTTATTCTAATACATAGTTGTGATTAGTTGCCAATGTAAAATATTTTATATTATCAAAGCGTTTTCTTTTTCCTCTAAAGTTCAAGTAGGAATTAAATTTAGAAGTCTCGAATTTGAGTAAAATTTCTAAACTGCCCAATCAAACACTTGATTTGTCTCAGTAAATTACTCTCAAACACGCCTCTCACTTACAATTTCAATTTCAATATCTTTACTAAATTTACTATAGCCATAACTTTATAACGTAAAAAAATGAAAAAATAATTAATGCATGTTGTATAAATGTGAGAGAATAAATTGATAATTAAAGTTATCAAAGTTATATTTTATTTAAGAACATCTTTAATGGGAGTAAGCTAAATGGGTAAATTAAGATATTTTTTGTGGGCCCAAAGTATTTTTATAGGATTTAAAAAATTTATAGTTGATTTGAGTAGTTTTTACTTTAATGATGATTGTCTATAAGAAACCAAAACTTGACCCCCACATTTTATATTTTTTATTCAAGTTACCATTAATTTAATTATTTTAATTAAAATACATACAATTTTTTAAATAAAATTTACCTTAAAAACTTAGAAATAATATTAAATATATTTTATCATAAAATTAAAAATGATACAAAATTTACAACAATAATACATAAAAAAAATACATTTTCATAGGAATATAAAATAATACATGACAATAAAGAGTACCATATGACCCTCATGATTTAATTTTAATCCTCATGTTTTCTCTTCAATACACACAATGTAGAGTATGATTTAACTATAAGTCTCATGATTTCTCCACCATACACACAACTCATGAAGAGTACCATATGACCTTTGTGATTTAACTTTAACCCTCACGTTTTCTCTTCAATACACACAACGTAGAGTATCATAGAAACCTCGTGATTTAACTCTAAATCTCATGATTTTTCTTCAATAAACCCTATAATTGTGAAAACAACATAAAAGACTCAATTTGGTGGTAGATATATTGAACCAAAGGTCTCATCTTCCACGGCTATAAATCAAATGTCATATTGAACTTTATTTTTGTTTATATAAAACCACCTTCAAACTTTGAAGTTGAAATTTTTATGTTTATTTGCGTATTTTTTCACTTTTAAAGTTCACTTTCATTTAAAAATTCCTTAAGTTATAAGTTAAGGTATTTTCAAGTATATGCATGTCGTTTAAAGTTTTATGTTTTAAAAATAAAGTTTTATGTTTTTAAACCAAAGTTTCAAAAATTCATGTTAGTATTAGTTTGTTTGGTCATGGTTGATTTATTTTGTGTTTGAATTGGCGTGTACATAATTGATTTTGATTAGATTGAGTTTAGCAGAATTGATTTTAATAGATGTAAGTTTAGTAAAATGTGTTTATGTTTGATACATTCATGTAAAAGTGATTTAAAATTAAAAATTACTTTAAAAAAATCAAACACTTTAAATTTGTTATTTAGAAAAAATATATAAACATGGTTCCCATTGGAATATTTTATTAGTATTAAATAATATTATAATATATTTCTCATTGAATAGTTAACGTTAGATAATAGAAACTAAACTTGAGTTCATTAGATGACATGTCAGTTCTATCTTTATTACTAACGTAACCTTGTCCTTCAATTTTGTTATAGACAGTGTCAAACATCTTATCGGTGGCAATCGTCTAATTCTTCATAGATAATTTTTTATTTTTGTTCAATCTTATTCATTTTTCTTCTCTAGGATTCTTAATTTTATTCTCTAAGTATAAATTAGATAAACATATAAAAATGTTTGACAATCAGTGGTCAAATATATGAACTACATTCATAAATATAATTTTGGTTGTTCATGTAAAGACTTATGGTAATAAAATTTAGGTAAAGATGGTGATTAATTTGATACTAAAAGATCAATAAAAAAAATTAATTGATTAATCTAGTCTTTTTCATATAACTAGTAACTTATTTGATATCATTTAGATTAAAGTTATAAGACAAATGAATCCCATAAAACATTTAAAATACAGTAATCATTCATAAAATAAAACCACGTCTTGATCATCTACATCCAAAATACTATAATCATCTTGAAGTTAATGGCATAAAATATCATTTACATTAAAGAAAACATTAAAAAAACATATCATTATCATACAATATAACTAAATAAAAACATTTAAGATTTAGTAATATGCCAAATATAAAGAGTTATGATAAAATTTAAAATATTGAGATGATTAGAAGAGAATAGACAAGGTTGATGAAGAAGATGGTTGCTATGACTAATGACTTGTGTGACATTTAACCGATAAACCAAATTAATAAACATTAGACACTACATTGATCATTTCTTTTTAAGAGACGAAAATCAATTTGATTGTTGCTCTATCAAATTTGATAGATTTTTTCTTTATTTTTTTGACATAAAATTTGATAGATTTTTTAACCCCAAATAAATAAAAATAAAAATTCAGGGTACAAGTTTTTATGTTAATATATTCTAACAATTAATTATTAATAATTTGCCATTAAAAATCTGTTTTAATAGTCTAAAAATAAAAGATTTTATACAAACGTCTTGTAAATAGAAGCATTTTTACAGTGTTTTCTTTGTTAAATTGCATCTCGTCGGGGCATCTCGCCAGGTTAAAAGAAGAGGCAATACATTTTCCGTTTCTTCATCAATTAACTTAAGGAAATTGAGACTGATACTACAAAAATGCCCGTGTCCCAAATAATGAAGTGAATAAATATTCATATGGCCACAATTGAAGCGTTAATTTTATCAGGACCTCCACTATAATCAAGCTCTACAAAAGTACCCCCACCTTCTCCTTTGGCTAATCTTCCCGGATTAACAGCAATGCATTTCCCACCTTTGGTCTCTTCGCTTTCGTTATTAAGAACCTGTCCAGTGATTAATTTATAAATGTTCTATCATGATGTAAAAACAGACTATTTTTCTTGTCGAGCAACCCAAATACAGGCATGTTTGATGCTTAGTAATGAAATCAAGTTTGAACTGAATAATTTACCTTGACAAAATACTTGATGTCTGAAGGTAAGATAAGAACATCTGGAACCGATGAGAGTTGAAGGGCTTCTGGCGCCAGAGAAAAGTCCAATGGAACACTTTCTGCCGGTGGGTAAAGTGGATAGAAACTGACATAAAATTTAAAACCATTAATTGTTTGATTTGTTTCTAATGACTGCTGAGCCAAACATCAAACAGGAAATCAACAGGAAAACAGCATTACCTCTGTTGGTTAAGAATATGATTTGTAAGTCTACTCAAACGATCAATAGGTTTTGCATCTGCCGCAGTTCGTGATATCTCCTCCCCACTGATCTGCTTGAGAACATCCAAAGTGCAGCAACCAACTTTGACCTGAAACCCAATCCTTGATCAAAAAAACATCTTTCCATTGAATCAACAACTAGCAAAACCCTATAGATTTTTTCGCTTTGTTGTTTGAAATCAGATGTAAGAGTAATATTGTCAATCAGAACGAGAAGTTTCACAATCTATAGATAGATTTCATAACCAAAATGCTTATCATGTGTAAGCACGGTTTTCCATCTAGAGAAGCTCGAATGTATTATGTGGAGTTCATCAAACAAGAAACAAGAGTAAACCATCGACAATGCGATACCTCATTTGCCTCAAAGATTCCAGGATTAGGGAGACTGGCTATCTGATAATAAAAGAAAATAACCATGTAAACACGAAAGCCCAGTACAACATTTCTGAAGATTAATTTCTAAATACTTCAAAATACCTGAGATACACTGATATCAAATGGAGGCTGCAGAAACAAATTATAGAAATTAATTTTTGGATCTTTGACTTGAATAAACTAAATCAATGGCTAACGAATCTAGAGATTTATCATTACCTGAGGAAAAACAAAATCATGGTTAGCATCCCGTATAGATGGTACAAACAGAACGCGTACGGAAGAACCCATACTCTCTACGTAATCTTCCAGCTGGAAACAACAACCATCGTGTAGGTTAGGACTTACGACAACAGATGAAAAAACCAAAAACAAATCCTACTAAAGTTATTACCTTCCTCAATACTTGAGAACGAAATATGTCATCAAAATCCATGTCTACTGTTCCTTTCTTGATGTCTGGGTGTTCAGAGTCAATAAATGGCCCCAGCTGTGATAAAAAATGTGATCAATATTATCAAGTTGGCAGTCTCATAACAAGTACAGAGGTGTAAATTTCATTGTGGGTTATATATTTACCAATACAAGCAACTGTGGTGGTCTTCGCTTTGCGTATGCCAGCAGTTCTACAAGAGGCTCAAACAGCAAATTGTCGGTTGTGGTAAAAGGGCCCGCCGCAATAATCTGTTAGGCCCAAGACCATTTATAAACTAGAAATTAGTGGAAAAAAATATTTGAAATACAGTGTATAGGATTATGCAAAATATTTGAAAACTTGCAGTGTGAAAATCGAAAATATTTCAATCATACTTAAAGCAGAGATTGTCAATAATTCCTTATGAACATTCTTAGGCTAGCTAGATTGGAAATTATTTTATTAGGTAATTTCCCATTATGAAAATGACTCTTTAGCAAAATGGTAGAAGAAAAGTTTGTAAATGATCGGAAAAATTAATTATTAAAAATAAATTGTGATGCAGAACTTAGAATTTAGCTTCCAGGAGAATTCATTAGCAACAAAAATATGGGATGCTTACCATTGATAACTCTCTCTGATTAGAAAGAAGTTCGGTTGGCTGATTCTCCTTATCAATAGCTTGCTTCTTTGAAGGATTCAAATCCTCCATAGCAACAGAGATAGGTATAGAATCAACCAATTTAGATGCAACTAGGCAATGGCCACTAGGATTATGCCCTCCAATTCCAACTACCTGTCAAGATGAAGTCTTCCCATTATAACTTAAAAATTCTGATACACAATTGCACGTTTGAAATCTACAATTAACTCACCATTTCTTACCTGGCCAGGGAAAACTGAATAATGACTTAAATGTTGTAAGTCTAGGCGGATGCATTCCCCTCCAGAATGCTCTATACTGTTGAAGTATGTAATGCAATATTAGAAAACAAATCCATGTATAACTCAAATAGATAAAACTACGAAACATACAAGTGTTGCTGCAAGTTATGTGTTTGGTTCCCGGTGGTGAAAATTGATGTTCAATGAATTGATTTCAAAATTATTTTGGTTAAAAGTGAACCGAGAGTAGAATTATTTATGTTTGGGTATAGTCACATGAAAATAAGTTGTGAACAATACACTACAGGTTGGAAAATACATTTGGTGACAGAAACTATAACTCCGGGCTTTAATGCCTATTTACCTGCTTTGTAACATGACAGATTTCTCATTAAGACGGCCTTCTCCGTCACAGCAAATCATGCCAACGGCAAAAAAACTTCTCTGTTAAACATATTACTTCAAGTTATTAGACAAATTTCCCCTTAGGCAAAGATTTTCCAATGTAATTATAAACCAGAACTAATGCACATGTTAAAACAAAATAGCATGACAATTTCATCGGACAAGCCAATAATTAAAATTTGTTGCTTATGAATTTGCCATCTAAGTCATGTGTATGCATGATAGAAATGGATGCATTAAACTTACCGGTGAGGCAATTGTAGGGTCTGTTGGTTCTTCATAGAGCCCAGAAGCTACAAGTGCTCTTGCATGTTTTCTAATTCGGTTTTCTATTGCATTAATCTAAATATCAATAATCAAGTATCAGCAAATAACCGCAATGTAAAAGAGTAAAGATCTAAGAGAAACACTAGAAATCACATACCTTATCTTCAGTTCTATCATACATGAATCTGCAACCCGGTTTCGGCCCTGATCCACGAATCACCAATGAACACCTTTTTCGGGTTATTACTTTCTTAACAATACTGTACTCGTCATTCTCTGCATTCTCGCGGTTAAGTTCTTGTTTTCCATTGTCTGTGTCAGACAGGGTGTTGATGCTGAATTTCACTGCAAACCTATCTGTTCGTTTGGAAAAAGGAGTCACCAGATCTGCTGGTTTTCCGGATGCTAAAACATTCCCGTACAAAGATGGTGTATCATGTATAGGCGAATAAACATCTTGACGGTTATTGGTTGGTGTGCTGGGAGTATCCTCCTTTGTATCATCGTCATTATTTGAGATCCTGCATAAAAGGATTTTCATCAGAATAATTTGTCCTTTAATTCAACAAGTGTGCCTGCTTTATTAGTTATTACCTATTTCAGACCATTAACAGATCCGGCAATAAACAAAAACCGCTATACTTAGCAGTATCCTAGTATGCATCAACGACATGCAGTTCATATCAATGGGATAGACTCAAGTTCATAGGATATGCTTACATTTCTACATCTCCGATGGAATAAAGATGCAAACCAGTTTCCTCCTTTATAATATCTTCTTTCACACTATTTTGTAGATGCAACAGAAAACCCTCCATTTCAGCATTTGGAACAATCGGTTCATCTAGTTGTCTGTCAAAACCCACCATCCAAATTCAAATAGCAAGTTATCATTCAGAAAACGAAGTTTGTTGAATCAAAACTAACTTATAAATAAATAAACTAATAAATTCAAAACGGTTTTAATAGATAAATGAACAAAATTGAAAAACCTGTTAAGGTAATAAATTTCCCAGCTTGAGACGAGATCCATAGCAGTGAGACTGTAGTTGATGCAAAAAGTGAGACCTACACATTTTGCAACACAATTCAGCATATAAACAAAGTACTAACATTAATTGATAAATGAATAGAGGAAAAGGGAAGAACTAGTTACATTTGTTCAGAATCTCTTCTTCTTCGTCGAGATTGAACCCAGCTTTTTCGAATTCCGACTTGATTTCTTCCTTCATTTTGATTTCGCTTCTTTTGCTCTTTCTAGGGTTTCTCTGGTTTGAGGTGCTGGATGAAAAATGGCGGGAACTTTTACCGAATTGGGTTTATATATTAACAAAAACAAATGATTGTGGTCTTTATTCCGATTATACCCTTTATACTCCATTTGTATAATTGTATTAGCAGGACGTCGTATAAACGTAGTAGGGGCTTGTATAATGTGCCTTGCTTGTGCCTGTTCGCTCTTTTAGCAATAATTTCTTTTAATTAAAAAGTTTAATCGGATAAATCATTTATTTACAAATGAATTTAATCTAATATTATCATTTAATATTAATTATATTTGACTTTTATTTTAACAATATCTAAAGTAATAATAATTTTTTAGGGATTGATCTAGTAACGAGGGCTTAGGATTTGAGAATATATTTTTTTTGAGATTTTAGTTCGAATTTTGTTAAATACTGTCGCGGTGAGAGTTGGATATTAAGGTATTGATTAACTTGAATCACAAATCATAATTCACCACTAATCTTTAATTTATCCAAGGGAAGGAAAAATAACGAATAATCAAAAACATGCAATACAAAAACAAAACAAAAGAGAATCTAAGGTTCGGGATTTGGTTATACCTAGGAAATGTGTTAGCATCCTAAGTATTTGTAGTACTCTACAAGAACCTCTTGTCTTATTGTGTTATCTGTCATTTTTTCTGCTAAAGGGTGAAAAGGTAAAAGAAGACCTAAGGTGTTAATTCTAAGTATGTTCGTCAAGACATCGCATCTCGTGCCTACGTATTCCGGCGGGAATAGAATCAGAGCATTGGTAGTTTCCCTCGAAGGGTAAATAAAGTTTGTTGGTTGGTTTTAGGAGAAGAGACAAGTTGTCATCTTAAGGAGAATACTCGACTTACACCACCACAAACATGCGGAAGATGGACATTTCATTCACATTAGAATCAACGAGTATATCACATGTCTCTCCTAAGTGGAAAATGAATCTACATCCTTCTCGAATATGTCATGGGATAGGAGAATCACATCTCAGCTAGGGATGACTTAAGTCTAATTCTCACATGAAAGAAAAAAAAGGAGACTACCTAGAAGTTGTCAATGTTGACGGATTGACATCCTAAGGGAAACTATCCTAAGGGAATGAGTTGTCTAAGCTAGAGTTAATAATCTAGATATATACATCCTAAGGTGATCAACCTATAGGGAAAACAGGGATCATGCGAAGAATTAGAAAACGCAAATGAATACAATGCAATGCATATGATTGTATAGTTAACCATAAGTCCTTTTCTTGGACTTAAGCATGGATAAGCAACAAGTAATTGACACGTCAAGGTCATGGCAAAAGTCACTAACAAGAATGCATCAAGATTTAACCACAATTTTCATTAAAACTAGTCAACATCATCGTCAAAATTATATCAAAGTTTAGCCAAGATCATTATTAAAAATAATATCAAAATTAATATTAGGATTAATCAAAATCAATATTAAAGTTAACATCAAAAACTAACTAAAGTTTATCATAAAAAAATATAATTAAAAAAAAATTAAAATTAAAATACTTGTGTCATATATATACTTGTCTCTTTTATATAAGTGCGACCTTGAGTCACGCTCAAGTATACTATCACCCACACTTATAAAGTTCCACCTCATTCAAACCCTGACTTAAGCATTGTATTTCTAAACTTTTGTAAGACCCTTATGATCAACAAAAAACTATAACCATTGTGTCAAAAGTCTCACTGTGATGGTCATCTTTAACCCTTCATTTATTTATGTTCCACTACAAAATATTTGTCATAGGAACAAAATATGTACGAGTTGCATAAGTATGATGAAATATTATAGAAATCATTTATAATATATTTATAATATATGTATGAAACTTAAAATAGGTTGTATAAAAAGAAATTACAAGAGATGCTCTAAGAAGTTTTCTTGCGTTGGGTAGTGTATATTCAAATCATTTAAATAAAGCATTATGAAAATTCATTTCATCGACGTACTTTAATGCTTTGTTTGGATTGGAGTAGAAAGTAAAAGGAAAGAAAATTGGTGAAAAATAAACGAATTTTTAGTTGTTTGATATAAGTGAAAGTAGAAGGAAAGTAAAAGAAAAAATGTGATATATTTATTAAATGACACAAATATCCATATATGTCAATAAAATATTTTTGAAAACAAGGACATTTTTGTCTTTTCAATATCATTGTTTGTCATTATGTGACTTTCCTCTCAAAACAGAAAAGGACGTGAGACCCACACAAAAGTTATCAATCCTTTCATTTTTAGTATTGTTCCAAATATAGGAGGGATCTAGAAAAAAAGAGTTTTTCATCTTTACTTAATCTTTCCTTCCACAACTTGTGAAAACAACCACATCCTAAAAGATTTTTATATGTTGTATGTTATTAAGATTATTACTATATAAATTATGAATCCTATTAATTATACTAATTCAGTTCATCATTACTCGTTATAATATAATGTCTATATATCTATTATATGTGACGTTATTATCTTTAATTTTTTATAAAGAGAACAATAATATCTTATACATAATCATAAATACGTCATAAAAAGACAATTTAGTTTTCACTTAATGGTCCATTTTATTATAATTTTTAAATGTTCGCTAAATTTAAATTATTTTTATTTTCATTATTATATTTTCAATTTGTAGATCCCCGTGCATGTTACACGATGTCGATATTAATAACATATTTTCACATTTGAAGTAATAATATATGGTATATAAATAATACAGAATAATGTCAATTCCTTAACAGATTTATTAAGGTAAAGTGCTGTTACAATTCAAGTAGCAATTAAATCACACTACACTATGAAACTAGTGTGTGCATGATAATAATTTTAAAACTATGTCAATTTCTATCGTATTATTATAACAAATATATGTGATAGCTATCTACTGTACAACACTATAATGTGAATGTATTATTCAGTTGTACTAAGTTTCATCCATCAATTTTTAAATGAGCGAGAGAAGTTGATGTTTTGTTCTCATAATTTATGAGAAGAACTTGTAGTGCTCGGATTGTACGATGATATTCCTCATAGCACCAATTGAGGATAATATCATTAATAAGACTCCAATAACAATGCATATCTGAAGGAAAAAAAAAACAAAATAAATTAAAGAATCATCCTATACGAATCATTGAATAACGGATGTATTTGGTGTATATATAGATTAAATGCGAAATTTATTTAATAAATTAAAAAAATTAAAATTTGTTTATAATAAAAAATGGAACGAGTATAATATATTCCAAAACAAAATAGTAGTATAAAAAATAATTTAGAAGTTTATATGTATAGTCTAAAACTTAAACCATATATCTATATCGAAGTAAGTAACATACCACATTAATTGTCCAAGACAAGCCAAATTTTTTGGGTTTCTTGAGTTTAAGCCAGATGATACAAGGCAACTGTAGAAATGATAGATAGAATAAGTAATAAGATAAGTTAGGATAGTAATTTGAAACATTATACAAGTATAATAAGTACTGAAAAAGGTTTTACTTACAAAGTAAGTTGTTGGTGCAAATGCAAATCCTCCTAGAAACCCAAGAAGTGAACCGAAGAAAGGGATGCATATGCCAATGAACATGGTCAATGCTGCAAGATAGGATTAAAAAGTTAACTACATAACAATGGATGAATTCTGCATTAATTCATATTACCAGCAAGTAAAGAAAACAACATACCAACATATATACTACGAACTAAAAATCGGAGGGCAAAAGTAGGCGCAAACTGTAATTTCTTAACCATGACAGTTTCGATCATGTCGAATACTGGCATTGCAAATACCTGTTATTCACACACAAAAAGAGTTACTTATAATATATATTGGCGAATCATGTATCATGATTTAGTGGTGCAAAATGAAATTTATAAACTAAGATCAAAATTGCAATTACATCCTAAAAATAACATTGTAATAAGTAAACTTAATTAAATGAATTCACCTGATAGCCTCCAATAACATGAATAACAACAAACAAGTTAGCGGCCGCAATGAGCCAAGCAGGTTTTTCTAGTGTGATGAGGATGTTATCGTCAACAGAGTTACCAAACATATAATATCCAATGATTGCAACTGGGAAGTAGCAAAATGCAACTCCTAGATATGCCCAAATAACTCCTTTCCACATAGGTTTCTTGGAAGGTACTTCATGGGTCGAGGGCATAGTTGCTTGGATTTCTAGAACCACATTGTGACCTGCATAAGCAAATGCTACATCTCCTAATGCAGAAAGGAAGTTGAATACCTTATCAACAATGGCAGTTGATCTAGGTTCATAGTCCACATTTGGGACAACCCCATTTTTAACTGAAGTTGCCCATGCTATGGTTGAGTATCTGATAAACAGTTAATTAAGTTTATCAATATAACAACTGATGTATCAAAATTACAAAAACATTTAAAAAAATGTTGAATTAGAGCAATAAAATTTGATTACTTACGTTAAAGACATAGTTGCTGCGCTCATAGATATAATAGAAAGGGAGTTGAAGTTGGGGCATTGAGCAATAACAAAGTTGATAGAAGCAAAAATAATAATCCAATATGAGATTTTAATGTCTCTACAATCAGGACAAAGAGTGTCATGAACTTTCTTTAATGATTTACCACCAGTGACCATGTACACAATACATGTGCCAACTTCAACAATAACTTGTTGTGGAACCACAATCCAAAGACCCAATTTCTCTCCAAAGGCTTCTTGTCCCAATTCATGATACCTATCAAGTCTTTTTCCAGGTATCATTTCATGCATCTCAACCATTTGCCATAAAGTGTACAATGTAATCACCCATGACAAGATAAGAATGGTAACTCCAGGTCCCCTATTATTTTATACCAAATATATAATAATGAGTTCATAATCACATACTATTTATTAAGAAAAATAGAACATAAACTACTAGACTCTCTATTATTGTCATAGTCTAATGCATTCATG